ATATATATCTTTGTTCATAAAGTGCATTTATAATTTCAGGTGCCCTTGTGGAAGAACATTTTCTTATATGTCCAATAGAGCACTACCAGAGTAGCATAGGTCAACCAATAGAGGTATTGGAAGAAATTGAGAAATTCAAGGATTCCCTTCGCAAGTTTTATGACCGAGATGGAAAAATTCCAGTATTTTTTGAAAGAAACTACAAAACTTCTCACATGCAACTTCAGGCAGTTCCCATACCGAAAAATGCTATGAAGAATTTAAAAGACATATTTTTAGTAAGTCAAAAACAGATTTTGATAATCTTCTTTACAAATGTGTATATTTCAGGAAGAATCAGAATGCCAGGGATTCAGATTGGACATTCTTGATAATCATAATCGTTTAGATCAAGTACTGCCTCCAAAAGCACCATATTTCACCGTTGAACTACCAGATGGTACTTTGATGTATACAAAGATTGAAAAGTCTACTCAATTTCCTTTGAATTTTGCTAGAGAAATTCTTGCTTCAGGACCGATCCTGAATGTTTCCAATAGGACTGAATGGAAAGAATGTTTGTTAGAAAAGAAAGAAGAAGAAACGTTGGTTATGAGGTTGAGAACAGACTTTGAACCTTTTGATTTTACTCTGTAACATTTCCGTATTTATTCACCATATATATATATGACATGCTCATGGTTGCCCCTTTCCTCTCATGCAGACCTATGACTTTGTAGGTACTTATGGCAGATACCCAATGGAAAAAACAACAACTAACCCAGTTAATGCCGCGCAGAGAGTTGAAGTAAAACCATCAGGTACCTGTGTAACGTCACAGTTTTATGGTCATAGTCATGGTTTTACTTCAACTCTCTGCGTGGCATTAGCTGGGTTAGTTGTTGTTTTTTTCCATGAGAGGAAAGGGGCAATCATGAGCATGTCATAATGCACTTCTCCGGAGTGATAATCATTATTCCGACTCCCACCCCAGAGTATGCTTGTGGAGTTGTCTCCTGGCTCTTTCTGCAGGTGGCGCAGCGAACATCCCACTGAATCAACTGCAGAGAGATTCCATAACTAGCGTAACTAGCTCAAAAAATCTTACGTTTCACCTAGAAATGTCTGATTTTTGGTACAGTCGTTCCCTGGAAACTTTGAACCATTGTTGCGGAGATTTTTTGTTAGCTTACAAACCTCTCATTCATTGGTGTTAAATCAGTATACATTTGGTTGAATTTTCTGCAAGTTCTGACAATGATTTGATCACTTTCTTCATGTGTAATAAATAATTTCATAAGAACTTCGTTTGAATAATCGATATTTGCATTCATTTTGGAAAATGTTTTGAAACACCGTCGATAACAATTTGTAAATTACTTATAAAAGTAACCAAACTGTTATTAGCTTGATAATTCCACTTCTATCCAAAACCAAATTCTTAAAAAGTGAAGTTTAATCAGTGCAAATTATTTTTTATCTCGAAAACCGATAGAGATAAGTATAGGACATTATTAACAAAAAAGTATTATAATAAAAAGAACGATTCCAAAAATGTGTTAATATACGGGGTGTTCTATTTAAAAAAATAAAGTTGCTAGGACTTTTTGATAGAAGTGGCAACGCCACAATGCTGAAAACATTTTAGATCGATAGAACAGGTAAGGAAATGAAAGATGTGAATTTTTCAAAAAATCCCGCATTGCGTTTATCATAAACGTCTAACCTACCATTGACCGTGAGTCACGCTGTATATATGAATATTCGGTTGTTATTATCCAGAAACGTGACCTGAAGACGTATGTCGTGAAGTCACTTGGTTTGAAATCTTTTTTTTTGAATTTTTTGATTATCTTTATTTTTATTCTTTTTATTTTACAGTTTTTTTTTACTGTTTGGTCATTTTGTATTTTATTTATTTTATTCGTTTTATTGTATTTTCTTTTCTGATTTTATTGTTTAATATAATTGATAATTTAGCTACTCATTCCAATTTTATTTATTCTTTCATAGATTTGGAATCATAGTAGAAACATATTAGACAATGGAAGTCCAACTAATAAAATTCACCCTAACCACTTTCAAAGAAACAGCGATGTCTGCTTTGTTATTGTTTGAGTTTTGAGTCATGTTACCACCAACACCTCATCAATAATAACAGCAGATTGCAAATGATTACGTGAAATGGTGTAGAACTGAATGAATTGCTCATTAATATTGAAATCACTTCAAATCGAGACATTATTGTAATTTATGGTTTGATTAGATAATGAAAGGAACACTAATTTGAGAACTCAACGAAATGACCAGAACAATCTTGGCATTGATGAAACCAACAGTTACATCTTTGACTGGTCTTAGAAAACTATGAAGAGTGTAAACAACTGGCAGGCATGGATCATATATTCTGTTTGTGGGCCATTAACTAACCATATTTATTGCTATGGAACCAGATCCTGGGTTAATGAGAAATGCAAAGAATACAGAGAAAATAGAACACAGATGAATAGAATTTAATCGTCATTAAAAATTTTACAATTGCATTGCATTACATAACACTTATAAACTTTTATCAGACTAGCTAAACCTGAAGACAAGGCTATATAAATAGATACATACATGTACATTGAAATCATAAATTCTTGCACAGAATAAAATGCATTCTTTACTAGGTGAGTGTATAGTCTTGATTTAAATGTTTGCAGGCTGCATTTAATTCCAAATAGTTTGACTGCATGTTATAGTAAATGATGCCTTGATAACTCGCAGAGTCCTGTCCCACCGCTAAACGTGAGTAAGGTAGTTTTAATTCGTTACCCCTTCGTGTGGTAGTTATGGCACATATTATTTTTTGTGTAGTGAGCTTAACTTTTTTTTATTTACGGCTACTACATGCAGGAAAGAGTAAGTATGGACAGCTGAGTGAATGTGTTCTTACATGATTCTTTATACCGAAGTCCAGATATGCATCTTATCACTTTTTTTGGAGTTTAAATGCTTTCATAGCATGCTCATAGCATGAGCTGAGTTTTCCCAGAAGGGCCATTCGTAAGATGAAATAGACTGCACAAGTCCATAGTATATTAATTTTAGCACTTCCAGTGAGACAGTCCCACGTAACTGTTTTATTACAAAACATATGCTGCTCAGTTTTTGATCGATGGTTTGATCTAAATATTTGAAGTGACTTACATGCTCAATGGTCCTGCTATCCATTTTTATAAAAGGACAAAAATCATAGGAAATGTTTTTTGCTGGAAAATCATAAATACCGTTTTGGCGACATTGACTGCTAACCTATTATTTTTACACCACTTGGAGAATTCATCTGATACCACATTTGCTGCTTCTATGGAAACAGATAAATTATTTCTTGCCATCATTTGAGCTGTGTAATTTGCATAGATTGTTTTTTGTTGTGACATATTTGAATTTTCTATATCACTCATGAATAGTATAAAAAGAATTGGAGCCAAGGTTGAACCCTGTGGAATTCCCATTGAAACAGAAGCAGGATGTGACTTCATCGAATCAACCATTACCACTTCTGTCCTATTTTTTATATATTGGCAACTTTCCTAATTCCAATTCCAAGGAGTTTTTCCAGGAGTAAGGTATGGTTTACTGTATCGAATGCTCTAGTTGAATAAAAAAATAAGCCAACTGCAATTTGCTTGTTATTGACACGTGTATATATGCTACTGCAAAGTTCATTTATTGCTGTTGAAGTTGATCTTTGCTGCCTAAAGTCATGTTGGCAATTAGGAATAAGTTTGTGGTACTCGATGAAATTCACCAATCTCAGATAATAACTATAATTGATGACTTTTGCAACTTGTGATTGTAAGCAAACATTACGGTTGTTAGCCGCCGACTTCGACATTTTAAGTGCTTCTGGATATATTCCTCCTATGAATGATTTATCTATTATATGCGATATAATACAATATGGCGGCTGAACATGAAGTTGCGATTTTAACAACAGAGCTAGGTAAGCTCCAAAAAAATGACCTAATTGATATGTTAATTACTTTAAAAGTGCTAGTAGTGGTGACAAGCATCCAGTTAAAAAAATTATATAAACAGAATCAGTGATAAAGTACTAAACAATAGTGTTGAAGGAAATGTTCATGCTACAAGTGCAAACATAACCTGTGGTGACTGTAATAAAAGGTTGAAAGAAGTGACTGACTCAAAGACAAATTTGAATCTATGAGTAAACTGTCATTTCATTTGGAAAAAAGGGCCCAATAGCAGGAAGATCTAATATACTTATTGAAACAACAATTGACTAACTCAAATTCCTTACCCATATTGCCATCTAGTAGCAGAAAATCGAATCCAGTTGAAATATCTACAACTGAGAATATTCTAAAAAAACTTTATAGCCATACAGTGAAAAAGGTGAACAACACACCGAACAAAACTGTCTTCTGATAACGAATTTGAAGTAAAAACTGGTGGAAATCCCAGTAGGTATTCCCCACATGAAAACAATGTAAATACATATTGGTAGCAATAAATCCGCAAATTTCAAAACAATCCCAAAATTGGGACATTGCACGTTTCTCGTATTGGCGCTGATGTAAAGTCTGAAGATTTACTGAATTTATTAAAAGATTCGGCACCTCAAATATCATTTGAGTGTGTAGAATGGAATAGGAATAAGCGATATTCCACTTACAAAGTAACTTTTTCTTTGGACAAGGCCCTGGAAGTATACGAACAAACCATCTGGCCAGAGGGATCCGTAATCAGGAGGTTTAAGTTTAGAGAAAATTTTCATCCATCCAAACAAACTGCAACTACAACTTAGTTCCGGTTATGTCAAATGATAGGAGTAAGCGATATTCCACTTACAAAGTAACTTTTTCTTTGGACAAGGCCCTGGAAGTATACGAACAAATCATCTGGCCGGAGGGATCCGTAATCAGGAGGTTTAAGTTTAGAGAAAATTTTCATCCATCCAAACAAACTGCAACTACAACTTAGTTCCAGTTATGTCAAATGATAACCAAGGTGTTCTCAGTTGTCAGGATTTTCCGAAGCCCAATAGCAGTCGAGTAGTTAACAGGAGTACATGTCAACTTGATATCTGTGCTGAATTGTGTGTGATGCACTTCAATGTACAGGGATGTTACAATAAGTCACTTGATTTGGAGATATTCTGTGTATTAGTGAGAGCTGGCTTAAATCACAAGAGTGTTCATCTTTTCAAATAACTGACTTCATAAATATACTTGAGCAACATAACATTAGTGCTATAAGTGAACCTACTCGTATATGGGGTGATTCGGCAACTTGTATTGATAATATTTTGTCTACTTTTAATCCTATTAGTTACTCCATTATCATTCCTATATATCTGATCACACTTTCCAGCTGGCAACTTTCTGCTATGATCAGGTTGAACCATAACCAAGAAACTCACAAGAGATGTTTTAGTGACTACAATATTGAGAAGTTTTCTAGTTTATTGCTGGAGACTGATTGGTCTTCAGTGCATGACTCAGTTGAAGTTTTTATAATAAAGTTTCCTATTATTTTGATACTTCATTTCCAAAAAAAGTAGTCAAGATGAAAAAATCTGGTGACTCCAGGTGGATAACTACTGAGTTGAGAGAAGTTATCTGATCTGAACAAAGTATATAAAACTGGTTTATATCGGAAGGAATATCAAGAAC